GCTTCTCAGGTCCGTGGCCTCTCCTCATCAAGACCCGTCACTGAGCTGTTGCCTCGCCCTTTCTCCACTCCTGTGGGATGTATTGAAGGAGAGACCCAGAGCAGTGCGAGTTAAGGTCGGCGAAGAGCAGAACCTCTTAGCGCTTTCAAAAATATACACACAAAGAAATTCATGCAAACTGAGGCGGCCTATGGCTAAAACTGCACAGGGCTTGACTGAAAACAACCCAAGAGCAAAATTTATTATATTTCCATGTACAAGTCCGACTTCAGACAATCAAACTCGTTAGACAAGACAGCCATTCAAAAAAAAATCATAACAATTAAAACTATGTTCAGTGAAATTCGATATGCCCAGAAAACTACCTGGTGAACCAAACCCACCCTATAGAATGGAGTCCAATGGAAGTAGTTTCAGCAAGGTGAAAATAAAATGGTATCTTTAAAAAGGAAATAATTGACAATTGGACATCTCCTCACAGAAGGGTCACAAGGAAGAGATGAGCCAGTCTGGGTGTAGTATAGCACCCATAAAACATACAACTTCCTCTAGTTCTTTAATGCTTCCTCTCCCTCACTATTATGACCCCAATTCTCCCTTGCAAATCCAGCTAGACCAGAGCATTTACACTGGTGCAGATAAGAGCTGGAAACAGGGAATCTAAGACTGATAAACCCCTCAGCACCAGTAATGAGAGTAGCGATACCAGGAAGGTAAGGGGAAGGTGGTGGTAGAAAGGGGTACTGATCACAATGATTGACACATAACGTGTTCCCCCTCGCATGGGGGAAGAACAACAGAAAAGTGGATGAAGGGAGACAGCGGTCAGTGTAAAGAAATGAAAAAATATATAAATTATCAAGGGTTCTTGAGTGAGGGGGAGAATAAGCTGATACCAAGGGGCTCAAGTAGGAAAACTTTTGAAAATGATGGCAACCTTTGTACAAATGTGCTTGACTCAATGAAGGCATGGGTTGTAAGAGCCCCCAATAAAATGATTTTTCTTAAAAGGCAATGATTAAAATGATCATCCATAAGGGCACTCAAAAGGGCAGCATTTGGGCAGAGATACAGCTCAGAAGGCAAGAAGAGGTAGCAAAGGACAAATGGAATCCGGGAAGACAGGGAGGTGGGGAGAAACCTGTGATGTGGGCCTTGCAGTCAAAGTCACAAAACGATGTGGTGTTGGGATGGAAAACCAATTTGCTCTCTAAACCTCACCTAGATCACA